TTGCGGAAGGGCGATAGGGTGTGGTAGACAATATCCGTGACTGAAAAAGAGGAACTGATGCAGGAGTTCAATATTTGAGTTTGATATGATTAACTGTAAGACAAAGGAATAATAAATTTAATAGTAATAATGGTTTTAGTACTACCTGAAAATAATTACATAATGTGATTAATTGAATCAAACTAAAAATGAATAAGAATTAATGTAATAATTATTAAATATTGACTGTATTTAGTAACAGTTAAATGTCAACCGAATCAACCAATATTTGCCCAGGGGATCGTGAGGGTGGTGAAAGATCACCCCTTTGAACAGGTCAAGGGTTCGGTGTGGGGGAGTCGGGGGGGAGGGGGGCGAGGTTGAGGTTGGGATTCGATGGGATTCGGATGGCTGGCGAGCGCTGGGAATTTTGAGATAGGGGGAAGGGATGTGGAGGGAGAGGGGGTTGGTGGCGTTTGGTGGTAGGGGAGGTGTAGATATGAAGAAGTCGAGTGTGGTAGGGGGGGTTGAGGTGATGACGGGGTGGGTTAGGGGGTGGGTTAGGGGCGTGGGGGAAGAGTTGAGGAGTATAAGTAGGGGGAGAGAAACTAGATACTTGATGCCCGGAGTGTGTAAGGTCGGGCGGGGATCCAATGTCGGGCAGGGGGGAGGAGAAGTGGGTGAAGGTTCGGGGTGGGGAGTGGGGAGATCATGGGTGCGGGAGAAGGTGGGGGGTTTTGTGAATGGGTGGGGGCAAGGGACGCGAGTGGGATGAGATTGGAAGGTGATTGGGTTCTAGATCGCTGGCGAATGTGAAGAGATTAGTGATGAGGAGAAGGGGATGTGAAGGGGGGGGGGGGAATGGGGAATGGTGGGTGAATGCGTGGGTTTGTGAGTAGGATTGAGGGGTGTAAGGTGAAGGGGGAAAGGGTGCGGGACGACTGGGGCGGTCGGGGAGGTAGTGGGAAGATAGCGGCGATCAGGCGATAACGGGACAGTCGGGAGATAGCGCTGGTCGGGGAGATAGCGGGGAGATAGCGGCGGTCGGGGAGGTGGCGGGGCGACAGGGGCGGTCGGGAAGATAGGGAGGTCGATTGAAAGGAATGGCTTTGTGAGTCGAGGTGRGGGGKGGARGGKGRGGGGGGGGATGGGTGCGGGGCGACAGGGGCAGTCGGGAAGATAGCGGGGGATAGCGGGATTAGCGCACGATTATTGGTTAGCGGGGAGATAGCGGGCGACAGGGGAGGTTGGGGAGATAGCGGGGAGCTAGCGGGGCGGCAAGGCGGTCGGGGAGGGGGGGGGGGACCGGGGTCGGGGGGATAGCTCCGAGATAGCGGGGTCGGGGAGATAGTGGCGGACGGGGAGATAGTGGCGGTCAGGGAGATGGCGGGGCGACAGGGGCGGTCGGGATGATATAGGGGGGACGAGCAAAAGAAGTGGCTTTGTGGGACGAAGTGAGGGGTGGAAGGTGAAGGGGGGATGGGCGCGGGGCGATCGGGGCGGTCGGTGAGGTAGCGGGGAGATAGCGGGGATTAGTGTACGGCAATTGGTTAACGGGAAGATAGCGGGACGACGGGGGAGGTCGGGGAGATAGCGGGGAGATAGGGGAGCAACAGGGGTGGTCGAGGAGATGAGGGGCGACAGGGGACGGGGAGATAACGGGGAGATAGCGGTGAACGGGGAGATAGCGACCGACGGGGAGATAGCGGGGAGACAATGGTGGTCGGGGGAGTGGCGGGGAGATATGAGAGAGAGAGGGGGTCGATTGACAGGAGTGGCTTTGTGAGTCAGAGTGAGGGGTGAAGGGTGAGGGGGAAATGGTCGCGGGGCGACGGGAGCGGTCGGGGAGAAGTTGGGGAAGTAGCGGGGATTGGTGTACGACTGTTGGTTGGCGGGGAGACAGCAGGCGACAGGGGAGGCCGGGGGGGAGATAGCGGGGAAATAGTGGGGCGACAGGGGGGGACGGGGGAGTGAGGGGCGAGAGGAGGTGGCTACAGTGGGGGAGTGAGGGGCGAGAGGAGGTGGCTACAGCGGGGGAAAGGGTGGCTATAGTGGAGGAGGGGGGTTGAGAGGTGGCTACATCAAAAGAGAGGGTTGAGAGGTGGTTACAGCGAGTCTAGTGGATAAGAGCGGGTGGGGCCCTGAAGGATTTTGGAGCAGGAGTTAGAAAGTATAGGCGATGAGGTTGCCTAACCTACAAGGTTTGTCAGTATTCGGAGGGGGTTAGCACTATCGTCGAGTGAGAAAAATGTTGTCAAGGGAGTAGTGAGTAAGAATCACCACCTGGATGAGAACGCCTTCCCCATATTCACTTAGCACGATTGGTGTGACCGAACGCTGCCGAAGTGCCTGTCGCCGGGATCACTGAACACTGCTGAATCGTCTATCGCCAGGGTCTCTCTCCTCCACCCCTGAGGGGCCTGATCTCTCCTGGCGAAAGGAGCAGCGGTGGGTCCCGGGGTCTCTCCCCTTCACCTCTGAAGGCCTGATCTCTCTTGGCGAAAGGAGCAGCGGTAGGCCCGTCCAGTAGGGATCCCTCGTGATGATGCGATGGTTGGAGCAGTTGTCCTTTCTTCAAAACAAACAGGAAACAAAGCAGCTTGACGATGTACCTGTGGACGCAAATGCTGAAGATCCTCTCACATTGTGGGCACTTGGACTCATCGATGTCGAGCAGAAGAAAGGAGGAAAGAAAAAAAAGAGCCTCCCGTTTTGGCCCTTCTCCCCGCCTCCTTAGGAGAACGTCTTCCCGATAAGGAAAGAACGGGGAGGAGGTGGGCCTGTGATACACCAACCTCACGCCCCCTCGCAGCTTCCCGTACTGGGTCGCCGATCAGAGTTTTGGGAGGGGCGTGGCCGAGGATTTTTGGCCGTAGGGGTTGAGTCTCCCGGACGGAACGGGAGGCTCTCGTTTCGTGCCAGAGGTTACCCCGGGGTCGAACTGTTGTCGCGAAGTCCCGTGGGGGTCAGGTCACTTCGGAACGATAAACTCAGAAGAATCTCCGCAAAAATGGACGGTCGTCGTGCATCAGGACGGAAAAAGCCATCAAGGGGAGAGGGTCATGGTGGTGGGAGACAGAAACTCCAACCGTCATGGGTTTGGGGGATAGGTGGTGGGTTCGAAGCCTTCAGGCCTCGTCGTCGGACTCACAGAGTCCGCGTGGAATTTTCTTAGAGGGGGAAACGGCGGGAGGGCTCGTCGGCATCCGAATTCGAAATTGCGCGGGCAACGCCCCTGCATTACGGAAGAGCTCGAGGAAACGTGCCGCTCCCTCGTAACCCAGGACCTAGCGTCGCCAAGAACACGAGTCCCCCTGGCGACACCAGCGGCAATCAAACTGCGGACGCCACGCGGCGTGAGCGCCCGACCAGGGCAACACAGTTAAACCCCTATAAGGCAAGATTAGAGTCGGGGAATCAAAACGATCAATCAAGACAAACCCGTTCCCCCTTATATCGCAAGCCCGAGGCGGGTACCGCCAACACACTTGCTCCGTTCGCCTCAGCGCGCGCCGCACGTCCGCATCGCAGTAGACGCTGTCGTCATCTGTGATGGGGAAGATCGGGAGCGAGATGAGACGATCGGAAGTAGGCGAAAAACACGGGCACGATCCCGCGCTCCCGGTCATCCGAACCAACATCGACTCCATACAATACTCGATGCAACCTTCCCTCTCAAAGTTAGTGCATCGGAGGAAGATGGCAAAATCTAAGCTCTCTTCCCCTTGCGGGGGCGTCGACCGCGCGCGCGGACGCAGGCGGTTGACGTCGCCGGTACGGGGACGAGAAGTTCAAAAGCGATGGCTATCAGTCCAAAAAGGGCCGCGGAAGGGAGGGGAACAACGGGATTAACACACTCATACTCCTAGGCAGACGGTTCCCCAGTTCTGTTCGTCCCCGCCCGGATAAGTACATGCACACATACATACATGCAATCAACAACTCTTGACAAGACATCCAATCATCCATAGACCTTTGACATCACTCATGCGCACAACAAGCTCCCCATGATTCGGGGCCTCACACACACAACATGCATGGACAAAGCAGCGATGGAGATAAAAGCGAGTCCTTCGTATACACAAAAATTCTCAATTAACTGCCGCCCCCAGGCGCAGCCTTCAAAACTTCCCAAGACCACCGACCACCATAGCCACAAGGCCCTGCCGCGGTCGGCGTCCAATCCCCACCGTTGCTCAGTCCCTCCGGCTGCCTCGCCCCGAGACTACCGCGGGCCCACCCCGCGTCGTCACTCCGCCCGTCCTTGGGCTCGTCGAGCCTGTTCGGCGCCGCGGACTTCGCACATAGCTCACGCAGCATTGCAGCCGAGATAAAAAAGAGAGAGAGGAGAGGGTTGCGCGAATTTATAGCGCGGGAGGCGGCGGGTTGTCAGCGCGAGGTGCGGGCAGCGTAGGTTGTAGATGAGCAGGACAGGAGGAAGGTGGGGAGTTAGAGGGTTCGACCCGCGGGATGGCATGGTCCTACGTGATTGGGGTGTCCGTTCAAGTGGCGCGCGGTTTTCCGCTCTCCACATTGATCCGAGCATCCCAATCTACACGGCCAATCACTTCGCGGGGTAAGGATCGAGCTGGGCTGAGGGGAAGACGAAGAGTCTGACATGGGGAAAAGGCGCGCAGCAAGAAGGGAAGATGGCGCGGGGATGCAAAGCAAGAAAGGGGGATGCGAGACGCGCGAAGAAATCGGAGCTTAGGCGTGCGCGCGCAAAAATTTAAAAAGTCCCAACCGCCCTCGTTTCTTGGTTTTCATACCGCGGCCGCTATTCGCCAGCGCAAGAGTTATTAATCAAACAAAATGAAAAAGCCGTTTCGAAAAGAAAACAAAAACAAAAAGAAAGAAAAACCCCTGTTTGTCCGCATCCGTGCCTCGGGGCTTCAGGGGGATTTTTCCTCAGGGATACGGGAAGCCGCGCGGTACGGGTCTGAGCTTATCACATCTGTGATACGCAGGGGGTTCCGAAAAATTAGCAGTCTCCCGACTGCTGAGGTCATCATGTTTTAGATGATCGGGCGGCCTCTTCATTGTCAGCTGGCCCAATCATCTTGCATCCTCCATCGCCTCCTCCCATAGTATACACCCGATTGGGCGGCCCCTTCATCGTCAGCTGGCCCGATCGGAATTTTTTTTTTTTTTTTTTTTACACAGCGCGTCTCGACGCGCGAACTTTGGGCATAGGAGAAGAAGATGATGAAGAGAAGGAGAAGGAGAGAAGCGGGGAGAGGTAGACGAGGGTGATCAGAGGAAGTGATCGATGTCGGGATTAAGAGGGGGCGGAATAGGTGGAAGAAAAGCGGCCATTGCCGCGGGAGTCGTCGGTGCATCTTCCTCCTGGAAGTGGTGCTGGACGAACGAGGGATAGAGGAAGGCCCCCGACACATGAGACAGGACACGTGGCGCCAGATCCGCCACCGCTCGCACCACCCGCTTGCGCACCGATCGGGGCCCTGGACCTGTCATCACCACATGAGTCTCGGTGTAAGGCTGCCGCTCCCGCTTCTGCACCGCGAAGACAAGGAAGTGGTACATCACATTGGGACGCTGCCCGGTCTCGTAGATGAGCGTCCCAGCCAGTCGCGTCGCAATACACCCCTGAAAAGGGGGTGTCAAATATGGCTCCCACGCCGGATCAGGGCGCGGCGCCCCCGCGATGGCCTCGAGTCTGATGGTGGTGGGCTCCACCATGAAATCCACCTCTGTCGGATGGACCGTCTGGCTTGGAGGAACTGCTAATGTCAATGACCGGGGCACCCCGAGCGGAGAGGTCCCGCGAGGACGGGGGGTCTGAATATGGGATCCGGTACTCCCATTCGGCTCCCTCCCCCGGCTGCTGCTGCTGCTGCTGACGGCCCGACTCCATCAAGATTGAGATCGGGCACGCGTGGGAAGGGTGGCGATGGCACAACAGTCTCCTTAACAAGCGTCGCCGCACTCCCAAGCACGGGATCAAGATTTCGCGTATGCGCGGGCTGAATCACCTCCTCGCCGCCACCGATTCTGCTGCCTTGCGCTCCTGGTGACGGGTGGCGTCTCTTCCTCTTCGGCGTCTTCTTGGGGGCCTGAGGTGGCGCCGGTCTGGGATACGACGAGGGAGGCCGCAGCGGCTTTTCCTCCGGGAAGTCCTCCAACCTCTCCGCGCGCTGCGCAATGTAGTCCGCCGTCCGGGATGACGACCGCGTTGTACGTTCTCCGCGGGGCCGTCGCCGTCCGCAATCGTGGCTGGATCTCCTCTTCCTCGCTCACGATCACCTGCGCAATGGAGAGGAGCTCAAGATGTATGAGCTCCAACAATCCCGGATCGATCGTCTGGAGCTGGGCGAATGGGTACAGCGCCACCGTCCCCCCCTTCTGCGCTGGCTTGGGCCGTGTGATGACGTAGTAGACGACGAAGTGCTCCCCGATGCAGTGGTCTTCGTGATCCACGAAGAATCTGAACATCCCCAACGCCACCGACTTGTACAGCGCACGGTGCAACTCCCACGTGTCTTCGTCTGCGAAGGGCAGCGGCTCCACGTCAGTTAGCTCCACCAGATACTCCGAGAACTCGCGCATAGGATAAGGGCCCTACGTGAGTTGATAGGGGAGAGCGGTGTAAGAGAAGAAGGGAGGCATTTAGTACGGGGCAGGGGGAAGAGCTTGGATGTTGAGAGGGGCAGCAGGAGGAAGAAGCGCAGGGAGATGTGGCACCAACGCGATTGGTCCGTCCTCTGCCCTGCGCAGCAGCGCCTCGTGGGTTGTGAATCGGTGTCCCCTCCGTCCTTGCACTCTGGCCACTGATCTGGCCGCCTGCACCGCGTATTCACGCACAAAACTCCGCGCCAGCTCCCGACTCGGCGGCGTCAGGATCGTCAAGTCTCCGATGAAGGTGGCGACGCTATGCACGAAGTTGGGTGCCACCTGGAGCGCCCGGAACACGATGAACACTCGGGTCGTCCCCCGCCCCGGCAACTACGTCACGTCAACGTACACCCCCGCGTACGTCAGCCGATCACAAAGCAACGATACGCCGCCAGATCCGCAACCCCGGGCGATGGCACGTTCACCTGCTGAATGTCGTACCGCAACTGCCTCTCCTGATTGAACTGATGCCGCAACAAGCGATCTGCAAGCAGCGTCTGGAAATGCTCGAGGGGCTCATGCTCCGACTGGCAACGGTTCATCCTGCTCCCTGAAACTCTCAGCACCAGTGGACGAGGCAGATCGGGAAGAGGAGGAAGACGAAGAAGGAGAGGATGATCTCGCAGGAGCGGAGGTCCGTATGGGGCCTAGCGATGGCTGGAAGGGCCGGAGCGCGGCAGCGTGCCGTGTCAGCGGTCGGGCCTGGGAGTTCTGACGGGAAATCAGCTTCATGGAGTGCTGTCCCTGTGCGCCAACTTCCGTTACCTCGTAAATGCCTGTGTAGCGCGGGTGGATCTTGGAGGAGCGCGCGGATTTCCGTACATTAAGTCCCCAACTTTATAGCGGGGCAGCAGTCCCGCCGTCGCGTGCCGATTCTCATAGTCCCGTATCTGCCGTTGATGCGTCCGATCTACGGCCCGCTGTCGACGGCGAGCTAACGGGGGATAGGCCCTAGCCATTAAGTCCATGTAGTGGCGGGCCTTATCTCTGTGCTGGGCCCGTGTTGCTCTAACTTCCGTACCTACCAAGGGGGACAACTGCACCCGAGGGACACTATTGGTTCTCAGTTGAAAGGGGGACACCCCAGTACTACCGTGTGGGGTAGCCCGATAAATGGCCAAGATGTGGTGGACAATGACAGGCCAGGCCCGGGTGTCTCCCGCAGCGATATTCCGTCTAAGGGCAGTCTTAATCAGTCGGTTGGCATTCTCCACCAGGCCGTTGGCTTGAGGCCAATGCCCCAGCGAGTAGATAATCTTAACGTCCGCCCTGACTAGGTGACGTTCTACTTCGCCTTGAAATTCTGACCCATTGTCCATGTGTACCTCTTCTACGTCTAGATGCATGCACAAAAATCGGTTTACGTACCAGGCTACCTCTTGCGAATTCCGGCTGGTCATAGGGTACGCGTCGATCCATTTCCAAAAACGATCGACGGCCAGTAAAAGAACATTGAGTTCTCCCTGATCGACGGGACCTCTCGGAACGTTGATATCCGTCGTGTCGATGCTCACCCTCTGAAAGGGGCGATCTACACGAGTAGGCACCATCGTCCGAGGCATCTGTACCGGCGCCTTGTCCGCCGCGCAAGCCGGACAATTCTGGACGATGTATTTCACATCTTCCCGAATTCCCGACCAGTACCATCCATTCTTTTCGATGGCCTTTTGCGTGTACTTGACCGCGAAATGGACCGCATCCTCTTCATGAGCGGCTCGTGTCCAATCGAACCTAGCGAAAGGGTGCGGAACCGTCAACCAGCTAGACCCTCCGGGATCATCGACTTTTCGTTTTTGTAACGTCGGTCCCTGCTAGCGATAGTCCTGCGCCGACTCCATGACTCTCCGCCGCTCGGCTTTGGTAAGTTCTGACAGCGAGTCGCCTGACAGCCTCGGTAGCAATAGAAGGTCCGTCCAGACTTCTGCCCGGCGGGCACTTGGCGCGAATCCGTCGGTTGTCCGTGCGTCCAGATACCGTTTCTCGGTAGGGACTTGGTCCGTTCTGCAGTTGGGACAGACCCACGTCTTTTCACTTCGGTACCTAACACATTGTCCGTGGGATTTGACCGCTTGACACTGACTACACTGCACCCACAAAAGAAAATTGGGCCCTCCCGGGTGTAACCCTTCTTGGTTCGGGACCATAGGCAAGGTACAAAAGAAACAGGGACTTAGCTGTGTTTCAGGGGACGAATAGGGACTAGACGAGAGAGCGAGGGAGTTGGATGAGGGCAAAGAGATAGCGTCGGCCATCTCCGGCGAAACCTCCATTTCGGACTCAGGCATCGTCCTTGCGCAGCACGTGTAGCTCCCCGTAGCGCGGTTTCGTAGTCTCGGCTTCTGACCTCCACGGAATGAGTCGCTCGTTGGCGGGACACTTGTTGGGCGGCAGGAGGCGCGTCAATCCATCGGCGTTGCCATGCTGCCGCGTGGCACGGTGGTGGATGTCGAAGTCATAGTCCTGCAGAAGCACCGCCCACCTTCCCAGCGTCCCCGTGTAGTCCGTGTTGTTGTGTAGGGACAGCAGCGGCTGATGATCCGTTACCAGCATGAATTTCTGACCGTAAAGATACGGTCGGAAATGCTGAATCCCCCACACCACTGCCAGGCATTCGCCCTTGTACGCTGTCAGGCGGCCACAAGCAGTGCGCCGCCTGAGATCCGCAGTTTTTGGACTTAGGCTCAGGGACAAATCCGTGTTTTGATGGTAGTCTCGTATGGCCAGGCAACAAAAATTAGGGGAACTCAGGGCACCCCTGATTTTGGGCGTACTGAGCCTTATGAGTGACCCTCAAAGATGGCGAGATGGGTGGCCGCACTCGACATGTCTAGGGACTGTCATTTCCGACCGTTCAGAGGGTTAGACCCGCATTGGCCTGCCGCGGAGAGGCATCAAGGGAGTTGACCTCGCCGCAACGTCTTTGCAGCGTATGATCGGTCGGGGTCAAAATAACGCCTAAAATTTTTGTGATTTTTGGTATCTAAATCAAAGATGGGAGAAGAGATTGAGAACAGTAGGAGAAAAGAGAAAAACGTAATATTCCTTAATTTCCTTCTTTTTCGCAGCATTTGAGTTTTGGGGAAAAAACTCCGTTATTTTTATGTTTTCCGGCAATGGAATCGAAAACAAAGGAAAAGATTAAGAATGATAAAGGAGAAAAGGAACAAGGAATTTCAACAATTTAATTAAGAGTTTCTCGGAATTTATTTTTGGTAAGTTTACGGTTATTTTACTATTTCGGGTAATAGAGTTAAGAGAAGGGGGGATGATTAAAAATGATGGAACGAACAAGAACCGATGATTATTCGATGCTTGGCCTGATTCTCCTTGGAATTCCCACCGTCTGCTCTGAATCCCRATYAATCAGTCTTTTCTGGATCCCCACCTTTTTCGCCAATCCCTGATGATCAAGGTTTTTTCGTGCCACTTTCSCGATCCACCTATTTACTAACTTCACTGTGACAGTCCTAGGACGATCGGATGGACAGCATGGGGTGSTGCTATCTTGGGTCGACTATGGTGTTTGGTTCAGTACGGATACGAGGGTTGTTACGGAGTGGCTTCATACTACGGTGTCTGGCCGGTGACAGTTGTTTCACTACGGTGACTTATTTTCAGGTTTGGGACAGGTACGGTGATTTATTCTGAGGACCAGGACTACTACGAYAGTTATTCCAGGTTAGAGACGTTGGCGGCTATTTATCCCAGGTTCGGCGTTATCACGGATAATTAACCCAGGGTCGGCACCGTCACTGCGGCCATTTATTCCATGCTTGGTGCCATTATGGCGCTTTATTTCAACTTTGGGACCACGATATTGTGCGGCATTTGACATGTTATCAGATTCGGTGTTGGCTCGGCATTGGTTCGGCATCGGCATGGTACGGTTGTCTCGTGTTCGGCATTGGTTAGCATCGCTGAGGTACAGGCCGCAGATCTTTTTCGGGTTCGGTATTGTTACGACATTGGCTCAGCGCCGAAGTGGAACACGCATCTTT